GGAGGGGAAAGGAAAGGAAAGGAAAGGAAAGGAAAGGAAAGGAAAGGAAAGGAAAGGAAAGGAAAGGAAAGGAAAGGAGGGAGGAAGGAGGAAGAAGGAAGGAAGGAATGAATGAATTCTGGTTTTACTGTATGGTGATTAATTACATAATATTCATTATAAAACCCATTATTCATAACCAATTCAATCATTGTAGTGATCCTCACCTTTTACAGTCATAGTTTTCAGGCCCAAATTACTATGTAGCAAATTAAGTTTCATAGAGCCTATTCCAGTAAGAGTTTATCAGTTCCCTCTTCTATCCAAGACCCTTCGGTTCTTCAGTAGTGAACCATGTAAAAATGACAGTAGAGGTCAGAGATGTAGCTCAGTTCAATCCCAGCACCACCAACTAATATGTACACATATAAACAGGGAATACAAATGACTATGGATCTGAAAAACTCTATAGCAAAGTTCGAAAAAAATGAAAATCATATTGTATTTGAGCTACATACACTGTGGATATTCAGTGCAGTCAAAGACTGTTTAGGTAGATGACACCAAAGACCATGTTTGGAATCATAATGAACCTAAAGGAATTAAGAAAGTCAAACAACAGAACTAGAAGACGTTAAAATGCCAGAAAAGGTTGGAGTTGTGTCCACAGTCCTCATCAGCAAGACTTCTGAGACAACAGACAGACAGACAGACAGTGATGGCTGAGGCACCCAAGTACAACCTGGAGCACCATTCTGCATAGTAAACAAAGGCAACTTGAGCACCATATCCTTTGCATATGAACACTTCAGTAAATGCTTTTACCTTGGAAAGTTTTAAGACTGTTTATTGTATATATAACTGACATAAAAAGCCATAAAAATCCAGAGACTAAAACTTTGTCACCTTCAGTTTCTCTTATTCTCTTCCCTTGTCACTCTCAATATCTCATTTCTAAAGGCTGGATGTTCATCTGTTATGCAGAATGCAGTTAACTTCCATTTCTTACTCACTCCTCATTCCCAGCCTGCTGTTTATACTGCTGCCATTTAAACATGCATCATTTCTATCCCTTTGGCAGATTTAAACCTTAGGTGCTTTAGGTCCTTAGGTTCTTTACATCTTTATAATTCTTCTGTGTGTTTGTGTGTGTGTGTGTGTTGCACACTGAGAGACAGACGGAGAGTGAGTCTTGTTCTGTAAGATGAGCTGGAACTCTTTCATGCCTGTGTGCCTCAAACAGCCCCTTGGCTTTAAGTTCCTTCCCCCATATCCACCCAAATTTCTCTCTCGACACCTTCATCAAACCAACTTACCAAACCAAGTCCTTTCTGAGTCACAAGGTAGCAGCTTCCTTTTTATGTATTTGTTACATTTCCTAATATATGTCTTAATCTAAATGCAGCTATAAGAATTTATTATTTTAGAATTTTCTCAGTTCCTGTCCTGATGGGTTATATGATCCCTGTGGACAGACACCAAGGGTGGGGACATAGACTCTCCTGTACCATATACAGTCTGTCCTACAAATCTTACTCAACATCACAGGGTTACTTTCAGGGAATTCTCATATACCCAGAAATGGGTGAAGATGGAAGAGTTCAGTTGCTACCACCCAGCAAAGTAGTAGTAATTGCATCTATGTTTAAAAATGTTGCTTGCCAAAGGATTTAACTTGAGCAAATTTGGGTCAAGAAATGTGTATACATCTCAGGTCATTAAGGATGGCAAAGTGACGGGATCACTTTTGCTAACTAATACTGGACAGATGTCTGGACAGCGCCCTGCTAGTCTTAGACCCGTACATAACTAAGGCAGGCATGTTTAACTATACTAAGCAAAATGGCAGACCAGAAAAATAGGACAGTTTGCTCGTAACACAGAACAAAAACTGCCTAAGTTTCATTTTGTTAATAACTGTCAGACTTTGAAAATTGCATAGGCTAACACATGACCTAAATCACAGTGCTTTCTCTGTTCTTTTTGGCAACATCTACACGGATAGCAACAAAAAGCTACACACTGCTATGATTTTCCTCACAGCACTGCAAGCCAAAAGCTTAGAGTTACTCCTACCATAAACACACAAGACTCTCAAGGACTCACTTTAAAACCATGATGTACAAGTTTTTATAGCAATATATAGTGTATATACATGGCCATACATTAAGCTGACTTTCTTTTACTATGTCATGAATTATCAGTACAGTATGTAGTCTCCAGGCTTTTGGGTCCAAGGAAATCCTGCCTCTTTATATAATGAGAATAAAATAATAGTTTTAATTAATTATACATATAGCTTGTTTTGTCAGTAATTTGCTAATTGCCTTACTCCTCATAATATTCTTATGCAGTAGGTCATTAGTGGGGTCACGTATCTTAGTGAGCAGAGGCATCAGGCCTGCCTGAGACAGCAGGGCCTCCTTAGGCAGTCTGTGTTGTAACAGCTTTCACAAGGTTACGCACACACACAACTCAGTTTGATGGCACTTTTAATTAAAAGTATCGCAGCCTTTAAATTACTGTAGCTGAGCCTTTCTTAGCCATTTGTTTACATACACTAAATTATTTGGGGTTTCCTAATAGAAAACACTCAGGCTCAGATTCAGTTCTGTATTTAAAAGGCAGCATCTCTAACAATGTTCTCTTAAGCAACTCCTCGCCCATTTCTAATGGGATTATTTCAAAGAGAGTATTCATTGAAATTGTTCTGTCTGTGAAGGGAGAAATAGAGGCCAGGTATAGGAAGAAGTAGATTCTTCTGGTTTATGCCTGTAGTGAGATTTGGTTAGGCAGAAATAATTCTAACAAAAATTAATGGTTATTTAAAAGCTAGCTCATTACTCCTTGCAGTGTTATAAATATCTCCTCTAAGAAGCATGGATAATTGAAAAAGTTACTAGTTTTATATAGCAACTTAATAAAGCAGGAAAAATAACACTCTTTGACAGAAGATAATGTCTAAAGCTTGGGCACAGACCTAAACACTGTCAGAGATATCGGAGAACATCATTTATACTAAGAGTATTTCTACTCACAAGTTCTAACATGGTTTGTCACAGTGGTCCTCTATAAAAACCTAGATAAGTTTTAGTGAAGTATTAGACTGACATTCCAATTGCTCAAGTCACATGTCTCTATTTTAGCCTTGCAGTTACTGACTACACCAAAAGTAGGTTGTTGCTATCACATCAGCAGATGCATGCACATTGCTGACCAGCACACCATTTGAATACATGGTTGGGGATGTTTTCATCTTGAAAGACAGTCCCGTAGGACAAACTCAACATTGTATGCCCAGTATACTTGTAGTCTGTCTAGTTCCCAAAAGTAAACTCAATAACATCCCTGCATATAAACTCAAATATAAATCTGTTATGAAAGGGCAATAGACTAAATGTGAGAGTAGATAAAGCAATTAATTAACACAGAAAGTATAGGGCTCTGAGGTAGTTTAGTCTATTAGGAACATAGTTGGCATATATATCTGAAGATTAATCTTACCTGAAACACAAACATATGCCTTCCTGCAGGAACAGGACCCACTAAAACAGAGTCTAAAACTTGATCGTATTCTTCACTTTCTGCAGAGCCCACATAGATAATTTTCCACTCCAAGTCTAGGGTTAAAAAAAAAAAACAACATTATTTCATAGCAGCAATTATATATTAACATGATAAAGTCCCTTTTATTGATCACTTAACTGCTAAATGGCTTCTTACCAGAGAGAGATGGAAATGTTACTTATGTATGTCTCTCTCACCAGAATTTAGAATTCATCCCAAGAACTTCTCCAAATTCTCTTTCATAAAGCACTGGTCCCTGGAGAGTGTTCCTCACAAGTAAAACATGAACAAAAATTGGGGAAACACTAAAAGTTTGCCATAGGTACACATAAAACAAAATGGCACAGTTAGTTCTCAGAGACCTCCTTTAGTAAAGAACACTGGCAGTGGTAATCCCACTGCCCAGGCTCATGGACTCTGCAACCTCCCAGCCTCTTTTTGTGCCCCATTTTTAACTTCACCACTGTAGAAAAGCTGCCCTACGAAACAGAAATCATCACAGAATCTAAAGTAGAAAAATCATTAGCAAATCTTCCTTGTGGTTCAGAAGTTTCAGCTCAGCTCCTGACATAAATTTGTCAATCTGTTACCTCATCACTCTTACTAGCTAACAGAATAACTTGACTGTTACTAACTTGTACTTACATTGTATTATCATCTATGCCAACTGGTTACCAACTGGACACAGTGGGGCTGTTTCCTCCTGATACTCCTTTCTGCCATACATTCTTAAAACCAGAAGAGGAAACCAGTATCTTTATACCTCCTCATATAGCAGAATACTTACATAGCATAAAGGCAGGGACATGATACACTCAAGTACAACCTAACCTAAGACTTGCCTTGTAATTCAAGCTAGATTTCATTAAGCACCCTTTTAGAAAACTCTCTATGGAGAACTGAGAGGATTAAAACCATTGCTCTTTGAAGGAATCTGGGAATCTGCTCTTTAAACATAGGAGGAAGATGACAGACAATCTCCTATAGTGTGGTCTATGCTTGGCTTCATTATAGAAAGACTATATACTAAGCACTCCCAAGCGGTTGAATCTCTGGTTCACTCTGGAGAGTATCAAGAAATCCTTTCTTGTGTGTAACTATGTAGGTATCCCCTAAATTTCTAAGAGTATTGGCACTCCTTTGAATCATACCATACTTGCAAACTGAAACTTTGAATTGCAACTTTCTTGGTATTTGTAATGTTTTAAAAGCCAGCAGTTGCTATTATGTCTTGGCTCCACCATAGACTAAGGCTATTTGCATTTTCAGCTTTCAGTACATTTCCAGATTCAGGGTTCTGCATCTGGCACTTCATCAGATCACTTATTTGTTGTTGGATTTGTTGTAGAAAGAAACAATAACATTTTCTGACCAGAAAGAACAGCAAAAACAGTTACAAATGTAAAAAACCTGCTTGGTGTGTTCAAGAATAAGCCAAGAGGCTAGGAACAGAGAGAAGTTACCCAATCACTGCGAGGTTAGGATGGGGAGCAACACAGCCACATCATACAAGGCCCGATGCCTACTATACCTTAGCAGCACCATGTTGTTGTTGTGCTGGGCATCAAACCACTTTATCACAGAGCTACAGCCTACAGCTGGGGCTTTTCAATCTTGCTAATGCTGTGACCCTGAAATAGTTGGTTACGGTGTGCTGACTATCCAACCATAAAATTATTTTGTTGCTACTTCATAACTGCAAAATGGCTACTGTTATGCAGCAATGAATTGTAATATAAACATCTGTGTTTTTCAATAGTCTTCTGAGAGTCATGAGCCACAAGTTGAGACCCACTGCCCTGAAAGTTTTGAGCAGAGAAGTGACAAGAATCCTCCTCTTATCTTAAACGATCATTTTGCTTGCTATGTTCTGTATAAGCTGTATGAGGGCAGGGGAACAAGAGATGGCTTCAACAGTTCAGTACAGAAATTATGGTGGTGTGGTGAGTTATGGTGGCCACAGGGCTAGTGTAAAGCAGTCACATCCTAGATACAAAGTTTGGAAATAGAAACAGCAGTAGCCACTCTGGGGGGAGGTCGGTGTAAAGAACAAAATAATCAGGAGTTAGTTTTATACGTGTCTAAGATGCCTATTAAATGTTTAAGTATAAACACACAAAGGTCAAATTTTAAAAAATTGAAATTTGGCAATAATACATAATGACAAGGACAGAGCGAGAATCCTATGAGTCTTCATCAACACTCAACTTGGCAGGTCAGGAAGAGGATGATCAATAAAGTAGTTTAGAAACTACTAATGAAGTAGTAGTGCCCAATGAAGGAAATGATCCAAAAGCCAAACGAAGACACAGCTAAGGAGAATAGTATATGAAAGCTACTGACTTACCTAAGGTAAATGCTTTATCATACAGACATAATTATTCAAGTACATATATACCATGTGTGAGTACATACGTGAGAGTGCTGAGACTTTAGTAATCTAAAATTCACAGAGCTTACAAATCAGAATCATAATTAAAGATGGGTTGCTGCTACTCAAAAGCTTTGCTTTTTCTAGTGTTCAGGCTTAAAGAATACAGGACAGAGTGGATAAAGGTAACGGAGAGCGGGTTAGTCTAACCTTAATAAGTACAAGCTGTGACTCAGGAACAGGCACACACTGGGTCTGAAAGTGATGGTATGCCTAGTTACCAACTTGTTTATAAACCAATTTTCCTTTCCTACGCCTCTGTGTTTCATGGAGTTATAAGGGCTGTGGCACTACAAGAGTTATGAGCTGAAAATTATTCATTTATTTTAAAAGTTAAGTTTTCCATTTAATCATGGTAATCCCAGGCAGAAAGTACCTCCATGTGTGGTGGGGAAGGGATGTTACCAAGGAAATTTTAATTATATTGTTGGGAAGATCTGTGGTCTAGTAGAAAATATACAGCCTTTGCAATCAGAACAGGCCTGAATTTTCAAAGTATAAAGCCACAGGCTCAATTTTGATTCACTGCAAATATTAAAACCTAGACATTGCAGGAAGGCCAATTAAATTTGTATAGGCCTAGTGATCAAGCATAAATAAAGCCCCTACTTAAAAATCTCTTTAAAAAATTTTGTGTGCGTGTGTGTGTACACACATATACATACATACATGAGGTCAGAGGACAACTGGTTGGAGTCAGTTCCCTCCTACCATGTGGATTCAGGTGATTGACAGGTAGTTGGTATGGGTAGTAGCTTTACTGGCTGAGCCATCTCACTAGCCTTTAAATCCCACTTTTTAATGTGCTCTACTCCTTGACATAAATTCTATAAGAGAAATAACCATAATATCTTTAGAGCAAACACAACTTATGGCTTCTTCTGAAACAAAACTACCAGGCAATTTTAAAGCAAAATTAAAATATTTCAAGACTACTGACAAATAATAAATGGTGGCTAACTGGTACATTGGAGATAGACACAACTCAAAATTCCCTTTAGGTATTTTGTACTTTGATCAATAACTTAAAAAGTCACAGTACAACAGAAGTATGGGCCCTAAAAAGGAGCTTTTGCAGGATAACTCAACTCCCATTCCTTACTCCACAGAGCCTCTAGATGGAGTATACAGGAAGGGCACCTTTCTCAAGGATTCCTTTGCAGCTTTGGAATGACTCAGCTTAAAATACCTTAAAATAATGGTGCCCTGGTTTGAAGTGTACTAGAGGAAGACATAGTCTTGACTTGAGTAATACTACTGTTGTGAAAGGGTCCCAGTTAAAATGGAACCTTGGTTTCTGTGGATGGATGGCTTGGAACTATCCAGTGTAGTGACACTAACAATATCCTACACTGTATCTTCCTTGTACAACGTGGACCTAAAATGGAAGCCATCACATGAAAAACACCTGTAGTGTAAAGAACTTCTAATGCCTCGAACACTGCACTGAGTTAGGATGGAGTCAGCCATGATCTTACTTTATATTTGCTTATTTGTATATAAATTGGCAGTTCAAAAAAGAAACAGAAAAGAAAAATCAGTGTTGGGGTTGGAAATGGGTCTGATGTGGAAATGCTGTTACATTTCAAATGGAGAAATGAGCAAAACATCCTTATACTTATGTTAATCATCACCGCCTATTCGAAGACTATACTTTAGTCAATCTTCAAAATATGTCCCACTCACTGAATATATATGCATTATAATTTATATACGTACTAAAACCAACAGGGAACATTTTAAGTGATGGTGACGGTCCAGCCAGAAGAGTGGAGGGAAAGGGCTGTGACTTCCTTTTTACAATTTTTAAAGGTTTATTGCAAAGATTTTTATAATTAAAGTTAACCTCCTTCATGAAGTACATTGTAGAGATTATAAGCTTTTACATTAAAAGAGAAATTCTTTTCGTCATGATTATGATAATACTCCTAAAGGCATTTTGTAGAAATACTTCCAAGTCCCAAGATGTCCTCCTAGTTAACAGCAATTTAACATCAATGAAGTTGAACTTTTTGTTTCAAATGTTGAAAATGAACCATTGATTTTAATGAAATCTAAGAAAAGCGATAAAAAGCCACATTTTAGCTTTCTAAATTCTGCATTACTTCACTATTTCACATTTTTTTAAAACTGTAAAGCGTACTTCAGAAAGGACTTTGCCTTCCCAGCCAACGTTTATATTTTCTCTATCTGCCTGGACGGGGAGTTATTTTAATTGCATCTTCTTCACACGTTCTGGAGAAAGTCTTTTAGACTTTTAGAAGCCAGAGATGAAGTGCCTGGAACTGGTTAAGCGCCCTGCTTTTGCTCTCGGATGGGATGGAACTTCCTAGCCCCTCACCGTTTCTCTCCGAGAGGTCTCCGTCCCCCGGGAGAGGCGTCCGCGCCGCTCCGGAGGCGGTGCACAGCATCCCGGGCGCCCGCGAAGAGCACGGCGGTCCCCAGGAGCCAGGCGCCGAGGGGCGAGCCCAGCGCCCGCCTTCCGCGCTGGTTGGTGGAAGGAGCCGGAGAGCGGCGCGAGGACAGCCTCGGCGGAGCTCGGGCGGGAAGGCGCGGGCCCGCTCGCCCCTGGCGGTCCGGAGCAGGCGTCGTGCCGCCGGGTAAGATGGCTCCGCTCCTCGCCGGCCGCGCGTGCTCCCCGCCGGGCCGCGGGGCCCTGGGGCCGCCGAGGCCGCACGACCCCCGCCAGCGCCGCGCGAGCCGGGGCCGCCAAGCGCCGCCCGCCGCAGACAAAGCTGACAACATGGCTCCCTCCGTCCGGCAAGTTGCTCGCAAGTTGCGGCGCGGCCGGCGTCCCTCAACTTCAAGTTTCCCTCGCATGGCCGCCCTCCCGCCGGCCGCCGGCCGCCGGCCGCGGCCCACCCCGCGCGAGCCCGGGCCGGGAAACTTTAACGTCCGCCGCCGCAACTGACAGCCCGGCGCCACTCGCTCACCTTCAGACAGATCCTCGATGCACTCGAAGGTGATCTCGAACTGGAACGGGTTGTAGAAAGGCGACGGGTTATCCAGCACCACTACATTGTTCACCTGAACCTTTGCCATATTTTGAAGAAAACACAAACAATGGGGCCGGGGCTGGCGGCACCACAGAGTCCCGCGCGCGGCCGCTCCGAGAGCGCAGACCCCCGCCCCGGCGCGGCGCGGCCCGACGTCGTGCAGCTGCGACTTGAGAAACTTTTTTTTCCTTTTTATTTACACGGCAGCACTCCACAGTGTTTTGCAGCTTTCCTATTTCACTAAACTACAGCCCATTCTGCTCTGATAACTAGCAGCGTTGCCCGCGATTGGCTGCCCCCGAGCTCTGACCCTCCTCCTCCAGCGAGGGCCGCGGCGGCGAGCAAGATGGGCTCCCGCTCGCGGAACGGACGGGAAACTTTCACTGCGGCTCCACCTGCTGGTGCGGACCAGGACAAAGGCGCAGAACAAAGTGAGTGGAATAGGGGCTGGGAGGCCCGCGCGG